CCTATGATCAACAAAGATACAGACAGTCATTTTTAAAATAAGATTGACAGGCATAGTTTGTAAACAATGTCTAGGGATGAAGAAAAGTTTTCTCCTTGACCATATCTCGGTGCGCAGGACCTTTCTCATTTCTGAGCAGGTGAGTCAGAAGCACAGCACTTAGTTTTCTGTTGGGAAAGCTCATCTTGTGATGAAACTTAAAGAACTGTCTTTTTGTTTAAAAAAAAAAAAGAATGGGACAGTGATTCCATCTCCCACTAATCATAGAAGGTCAGATTTGGAGCCTTGACAATTCCATGCTGTTGTCTTTGTTTCTACAGCAGTATATGTTGTTGTTGTTGTTGTTAAGTGCCGTCGAGTCGGTTCCGACCCATAGCAACCCTGTACAGGGTTTCCGAGGGTGTAAATCCTTACGGGAGTAGAAAGCCTCATCTTTCTCCCGCGGAGCGGCTGGTAGTTTCGAACCGCTGACCTTAAGGTTCGCAGTCCGATTTGTAACCACTACGCTACAGCAGTATATAGTGATGTTTTAAAAATACAGAGAGAGGCAGTGTAAAGGAAAACAAAAAGCGCAGTGAGACAGATACCACTGCCACCTACGAGGGTTGTTGTTGTGAGGTGCTATCCAGTCAGTTCCCTACGGGAAGCCGGAGGAAACACAGCTCAATCCTGCGCCATCCTCATGCTGCCGTGTTTGAGCCCGTCGCTGATGCCAGTGTCTCAGGCCACCTCATTGACCGCCTTCCTGGTTTTCAGGTTGCTGTTGTTTGGACCCTTTGTAGGGTTTCTGAAGAACAGTTGGTGGATTTGAACTGCCAGCCTTCCAGTTAGCAGTTCGGTGTTCATTCTGTAGCACCACACCAGCACTCTACTAGGATTGTTGTTGTTGTTAAGTGCCGTCGAATCGATTCCGACCTATAGCGACCCTGTATAGGGTTTCCAAAGAGTAGCTGGTGAGCTTGAACCACCGACCTTGCAGTTCAAATGACTTTGCAGTCTGGCACGTTAGCCCACAGCGCCACACCAGGAATCCTACTAGGATATTGTTGTTGTTGTTGTTATGTGCCGTTGAGTTGATTCCAACCCATAGCCACCCTGTACAAGGTTTTTGAGGCTGTAAATCTGTACGGGAGCAGAAAGCCTCATCTTTCTCCCACGGAACAGCTGGTAGGATAGTTGTTGTAAAAACAAATCCAACCAGGGGGACAGGCTGGCAGGGTATACCCTTTGGTTGGTTGATGATGCATGAAGGGGATTGTAACCATGGTAATGAAACGATATACGATAGGATGAATGTAAAGCTAAGTTCTTCCCATGTAAACTTATCACATAATTCACAATAAAACATTTTTTTAAAAAGTGAACAGAGGTAAATACTGTTAACGGATGGTACATGTGAAGGGGATTGCAGTCATTGTAATGAAGCAAAATACATGGTTTGCTGAATATAAACAAAAAAAGACGGCAATCTATGTAAGCAGACTGTCATACTTTCTTCTGGGGAGAGGCTGGTGGGTTCAAATTGCTGATCTTTTGGCTAGCAGTCAAGTACTTAACCACTGTGCCACCAGGGTTCCTTCCTGTAAAGATTAAAAACCTGAGCAAATTAAAAAAAAAAAAAAAAAAAATCCAAGAATTGACAGGAATTGATGAGGATGTGAAGAAACTGGAAATGCTGGTTGGACTGTGGACTGGTACAGCCACCATGGAAAACAGTGAGTGGCTCTTCACGACATTAGACATGTAACTAATTACCGTAGGATACAAAACCCCACCCTCGCTGTATACACACATGCCTCTTTTACTGCATTTTGCCTGACTGAACTTCCCAGGGACTGCATGTTTGTTTACACCTGGAAAGTTTGTGGCGTCCCAGCATCATCAGACAAGTCTGTTAGTACCATTTGTCCAGTAGCGTGTGGTCACTTCATATTTCAGACTTCTTCATAATGCTCTTTGTTGCACACGCAAGAAGCTGCCCATCCCCACCCACTGCTGTTGAATGGATTCCAACTCATAGCGACCCTCTAGAAGGAAGCCAAACTGTGCCCTGGGGCTCATTTTTCTCCCTGGAGTGGCTGGTGGGTTTGGACCAGCCACCTTTTGGTTACCCTGATGCTTTAACCCACTGCACCATCCGGGCTCCTTCAGTAGACTACATGTATGTAGTAGCATGTAAACATGTACTTGTTAAGTTCTGTTGAGTAGGTTTGGATCATAGCAACCTTGTATAGCGTCTCCGAGGCTTTAAATCTTCCTGGGAACAGAAAGCCTCATCTTCCTCTCAAAATTTGTGTGACTTGCTGTATTGAAGCGCTTAGAACCAAACGTACAGTGTCTCTGAGGTCTGCCTTTACCCGAATGAATTGAAAACAACAACTCAAATAGACAAATGGACTCCAGTGTTCATCAGCACATGAATGGAAAAGCAAACCATGCACACGTGAAACATGACTCCACCCTGAAGGGAAGTGAAGGCCTGATGGCTTGTCACCTCCACAGATGAACCTTGATGACACTGTACTGAGTTAAATAAGCCAGATGCAGAAGGACAAGTATCACATAAGCCCAACTGTATGAAAACTCTAGAATATAGGCAAAATCCTCGAGACAGAAGTTTTTCAGTGGTGACCCGGGTATATCAAGGAATGGGGAGAACAAATAAAAGTATGCATGCTTTCATTTAAAATATGGCAAATAGTCTAAGTTGTTCTTCTTGCTGAGTGCTTTGGAGTCGGTTCCAATTCACAGTGACCCTGTATAGGGTTTCTGAGGAGCAGCTGGTGGGTTTGAACTATGGACCTTTTTCTTCATAGTCCAGTGCTGATCCTACAGCGCTGTGCCAGGAGTTCAACAATCAAGGAGCAAAGGTTGTGATTCTTCCATGCCAAACACCCTCGTGGTGAGTTGTTGTTGTTAAGTGCCGTGGAGTCGGTTCTGACTCATAGTGACCCTGCATAGGGTTTCTGAGGCTGTAAATCTTTGCAAGAGCAGAAAGCCTCCTCTTTCTCCTGCGGAACAGCTGGTAGTTTCAAACTGCTGACCATAAGATTAGCAGCCTGATTTGTAACCACTATGCTCCCAGAGCTCCTCTCGTGGTGGGTACAGGATGGCAACTCTGTTAAGTGTCTGTGAGTTATTGAAGTGATTGTAAATCATTGTTGTTAAGAAAGAAAACTGCTGTGTGTCAGCAAAGGAACAAAAGCTCAACAGAAAAACAAGCTGATGTTTCCCTATTGCCACCACTATGGAAAAAAATACCAGTTTGGAATCCACCTTGTCTGTCACCGCAGGCTCTCCCCCTAGTGTACATAGAGCGGAGCCCCTACAGCACATGGGGGTTCCAGCACAAACCCTGTAGCTGACCCTCCCATCTCTGCTTTGCTTTCACCTTTTTCATCAGGCTATTTACTGGATGCTTTTCAGTTCTTTTCAATGCCTGGCTCAACTTAACCTTATCCATATATGGAGCTCTGATAGCGTAGTGGTTACGAATAGGGCTGTGAACCACAAGGTCAGCAGTTCGAAACTACCAGCTGCACCGTGGGAGGAAGATGAGGCTTTCTGCTCCCATGAAGATTTACAGCCTTGGAAACCCTGTACAGGATCGCTATGGGTCGGAACCGACTCGAGGCACTTAACAACAACAAACTCTTTTTATTTTAAAAAAGGAAAAAAATCTCCTTTCACCAGTTTATTCACGGCATCAGATTGCATGAGTGGGTTTTGTTTAGTTTTGTGTTTGTGTAGAACTTCTTGGGCTCCCTTTAGCTGTCTATCTCAGTGACCCCTGCTCCATGGCTGCCTAACAAGGAAGCTCTGGACTCCCTGGGTCGAACCGGGGCAGTTAAAGAGCAGCGTTGGCTTCAGAATGCTCCAGAGTTAACTTCAGAGTCATCACCGTTGATGGGTGAACAAGAGATGCTGTGGTCCCGTGTCACATGACAGCTCAGTGAATGAAGGACACTGGTCACATGAGGGACACTGGTCACAGCTCAGTGAATGAGGGATGCTGTGGTCGCATGTGACAGAGCAGAGCTCAGTGTAAGAGGGACCCTGTGGTCACGTGTCACATGACAGCTCGGTGAACGAGGACACTGTGGTCGCATGTGACAGAGCAGAGCTCTGGGACACTGTGACTGTATTCTAGTCCCAGCTCCTAAATAGGTTCCTCATGTGGCCGAGAACCCTCTCCAGTCCCATCCAACCCTTGCAGATGGGCTGTGTAGTGCTAAATCGTAGGCAGTTCTGTCCAAGCCGCAGGCAGTTTTGAATCATTGTGGTGGTAGTGGTGGCCATGAGTTAAGGTTTCCGAGGCTGCACATCTTTACTGGAGCAGAAAGCCTCATCTTTCTCCTGCACAGTAGCTGGCAGTTTTAAACTGGGAACCTTGAAGTTAACACCCTGACTTGTTATCACGATACTACAGAGCTCCTTTTTAACCATCTTAGAGAGGGGAAACTAGTCCATAAATCTTAGCAGCAATAATAGTTTGATTCACTACCAAGAAGCAGGAAGGTTATTCCGTTTTGTGGAGACACAGGCTGGGTTCTGCAGAGTGCAGCCATTTCTCTGGCCACACTACTACCCCAGGGGTGCCTGTGAACTTGCATGAGGCCCACCACCTCTGTGTGTGGAGAAAGAATTGGCCTTCACAGCAGGCACGGCCAACCTTGACCTCAACGCAGTCTGCCCCATTGGGACTCAGAAATCCAATGTCTAGAAGCTTATGCCTTGCTTTTAATTTCTTTTTTCTCGTAGCTTCTATAAACTCTGAGTCACCTTGGGTTGGGGACAGTCATGCTGGTCTCCTGACAGAAACGCTGGTGTTGGAGTAGTGGTGGGAGATGCTGACATGTGTTTCAGGGACCCTGCCATTTCCAGCCATCTAATAAGAGTGTGTTGTCTTGAGAGGAAGGGCTCGTGTATTGCCTTCCAGGAGAGAACAGTGAACGTCAGGGTTTGTGTCCTCTGTTGACGTCTGTCCTTTGTGATTTCAGAGGTGGTGGCCCAGTGGTGCACACAGGGAGACTTGCTGGCAGTGGCCGGAATGGAACGACAGAACCCACTGGGTGACCTTCCCAATGGTCCTCTGCTGAAGAGCGCCATGATCAAGTTCTACAATGTCCGCGGAGAGCACATCTTCACACTGGACACGCTCGTGCAAGTAAGGACACACCTATGAGCCTGTGCATGTTTGCAGCATGGCGGCTGCTTTCGTGGGCGAGGCCCCGTACACTCCTAGGATCAGTTTTAACAAACTGTGCTTTGGGCTTTGGTTGACCTCAGTAAATCCCGTCCCAGCCAGACAAGCGTGTCCCACTCAGTATTCTGCAAGCAACTTCCACCACTCCTCTAGCTGTAGCTAGTATCCCTACAAAGGGCTGATGTTCTGGAAACAGACTCCCCATCTCCATGAGGCTCTCTCACAGCCCACAGAAGTCCACCTCAGAAACCTGCAAACCAGTCATCCTAGCTCCTGCCTCTTGACCACTCCCGTATCTCTAAACCTTGACAGTTTTACTTCTCAGTCCTAGATAGCTCAGGATCTATGGACTTCTGTCCACACCTGCCACCACCTTTGTCCAAGCCCCCATTGTCTTAGCTGGAAACCTCCTCTCCCCTCCCAAATCTCTCTTCACTGTGCAACCACAATTCCTCTGTAAAATCACAAGTCCCCTCAGCAGTGTCCTGCTGCCCTTAGAGTGGAATTCAGATGACCCAATCCTGCTGTGCCTCTTGAGGTTCATTCTCACCACTCTGGATTTTTCTGTTCTTTGGAACATTCACTCTCCTCCAGGCTTTCTTTCACACTGTTCCCTCAACTACACACACTTGTCCTCACACTGCACCTGGCAGCTCGTGTCTGCTGTGCTCTGAAGAGGCCCTTCTGGCTCCCCAGACTGCTGGGTTATGTTAGCCCCACAGCACCGGCTTGAAGATTTGGGGTAATGCTCACCGTGTGTTATTTGTAAGGTCACTGAGAGCAGGCACCTTGTCTCCTTGTTTGCTGATGTGTCCACAGTGCCTGATACCTAAGGGGCTGAAGTCAGTAAGTACTTATCCATGTGCACATGTGTCAGTTAACATCATGTTACGTTCTGTGAAACAGGACAGTGTGCAAACACCATATTAAAGCCTTATGGGAACCTGCTTCCCGTCGTTCTGGTCGCTGCCGCTCCTACTGCTGACTCCCCCAGCCTCCTTGTTCCCACTTGGGCCTCTTGTGGCGCCTGGAACGAGTCCGCCTTGAGGTCTCCCTGCACAGAACCATCTTAACCTGGCTTCATGACTGCCTGCTCTTCACCCTTCAGAACCTTACCCCATCTCACTGCCTCAGAGTCCACGACTTTCTCAGAATTCCCCTCCTCTCCTCCATGCTTGTGTGTATAACACTTACTATACCCTGGAATTTTCAAATGAATTGTTGGCCTTGTTGTTGCCTCCCACTGGGATGTAATGGACACAACGAGTGTGGCAGCCTGAGATACCCCACTATCCGTCATAACCGGAGTCCTGAGCAATGCTGGTCCCCAATGGGGTCTCAGTAAAGGCCTTTTCACTGCTCACTTGGTCGTCACTTCTTTGTCTTGTCTGTGCCTGCTTCACCTCCAGAACCTGGGCCAACACCTGGCCACGGTAGATGGCTCAGTAAATCATTGATTAAATGAGTGAAGACACATTTTGTAGTGTGACTGCCATTACTGTCACTGCACTGAAACCACCCTGCTGACCATCCAACCCCCAAATTCAGTGTTCTTGTGTCTGCGTCCAGCTGCCGTCCTCTTGCTTGTCACGGTCTCTTTACTGCTCTTGATGGCATGCCCTTCTAGATCCTTCTTCCTTCTGCTTGTTAAGTGAAAACTATTCATTACTCCACCATCTAGAGTGCTGTGCGTGGTCCTTCCCTCATTTCTCCTTCCCTCTCACTCATCCCCTTGGCTTTAATCAGTCTCAGTTCTTCAGCTCTGACAGCTGTGCCGATGATTCCACACTATAGCCTCAGTCACATGTCCCCAAATGCCCTCTCCGTTTCTCCACCCAGACACCTAGGTGACCCCCCCTAAGACTGTCTACTTCCGCTGCTGCAGGTGCCTTGTCCTCCGGGCATCAGGAGCGCAGTCGCATCACGTCTCTGGATGCTGTCCCCTCCCCTCTCTTCTCACGGCCTGGTTTTCTTCCCTGGCTTTTCACTGCTGTCAGTCACATCAGTCTCCCCAGGGCACTGCTCCACCTCTCCCTTGTTCATAAAAAAAAAAAAAAAAAAAAATTAAGTCTCAGCATCAGAGCCAGACCCGACACAGTCTGCTCCGGGAGCATTTCTCCTGTCTTGATTCCTACATTGCATTTCACGTTGCCTATGCTGTAGACAAACTGGATTCTGTTTCTGAAGGGGACTTTCTCTTTTTTACAATTAATATGGTGATGACTGCCAGGCACTAAGATACCAGCGTCTCTAAGTGGGTGAAATACATCGTAACGTATTATGTGGCTTTGCAGGAGAAAGAGAAAAGAAGGAAATGAGAAGAGCATGGAGCCAGAGCCCAGTGCCGGTCAGAGGTGTGGGTTTCAGGAGAGCAGGGAGGTGAATCCAAAAGAGAGATTTAGCAAGGATCTTTAGGGAAAGGAGAGAGCTCAGTCTGATCTCACAGGGAGTGTCTGTCTTCTCAGTGAACTAAAAGGCAGGATGGGAAAACCCAGGTACCATTGGTACCACAGGGAGTTTCAAGAAGGAGTCACTTGAGGTGAGAAGCTAAAAGTAAAGTTCCAGGCGACGCTGCTTAGTATGGGTTTAAAGAGAGTGTCCTGGCTGGTCACCCCTCCTCTAAGCGGGAGTTAGAAGGTAAAGCAGATAATACAGGTTGCCTGAGGTGAGGGCTTGGAAGATGAATACAGCAGAGAAGGCTGTATCCAGACGAGAGGGATAGAGGGAGCTGCTGAGGACCTTGAAACACTGACTGATGAAGACCAAAGACCACAGCCTTCAGTATGGATTGCATCTCAATCTTCACAACTGCACCACTAAATCACATCGTGATAAAGGGAGAAAAGATTGCAGTCGTCAGAGACGTCATTTTGCTTGGATCCCAGGAAAGAGCTGAAGTGGAGAAGGGATGAGGCCATGCAACTAAGGTCGAGGACATTGGTGGCCAGTGGATTGGGGATCACTGAAATGCAGTAGATGCTCAGTACGTGTTTATTCAGTGGGTTGATGGATGGACACTCATCAGCAGAGCCTTTCTTTAGTTCTTCCTGTTGATGGTTTGAACCTGTAGGGGATGGGTCCTTCTCAGTCAAATCTCATGCTGGCTTTCTATCCATACCAAACTAAAAGGTGCATAGGAGAGGATGGGAATTTTAAGCACTTTCTTAGTTGACAAACTTTCGTGTTTATTCAACTATTTATGCACTCAAGTGCTGAAACAGAATCCATGTCTTGTGAGTGTGACCTCACAGGAAGGCTGGACGAGGACCCACACCCCACAAAGCCAACTTAGTCACATGTGTTTTTAATCTGCCCAGCAGACTGCAGCCTGTCTTCTCTCTGACCCCCAGGTACCTGATCCCTCCAGTGTATGTTCCAGTCTACTTGACTCACCCAAGTCAGAAATCAGACTTAACTTCATTTGTCTCATCTTTACTCTGCCTACTGTGGAGTAGAGGCTCGATGGCCTTAGCCATTGCAAATGCCATCACATGAAAAGACCATGAGTTAAATTGTTTGGGGATTTGGGACAGGAGTGGGGCCTCAATTGAACTTCCTTTCGAGGACAACATCCATTTAGCATCTCCTCATTTTAATATTCTTTTGTTTTTTTCCTACTTCAAGGTCCATTTCAACAACTCAAAAGCTACATTAATCATATAAAGTTTAACAGTGATGTCATTAAGAATCAAATACAGTAGTAATCATGGTGTCAAGTGTTGTTGAGTCGATAGGGTTTCAAAGGCTGTAAATCTTTTGGGGAGCAGAAAGCCTCATCTCTCTCCCTCAGAAGGACTGTTGGGCCCAAACCATCAACCTTGTAGTTTGAAGTCCAGTGCTTACCCTCTGGGACCACCCGCTCCCAGTATTTATTGTATTGTTGTTGTCCTTGAATCAGTACCAACTCATAGCAACCCTATGCACAACAGAACGAGACATTGCCTAGTTCCACCCAATCTCGGTCATTGCTGTATTTGAGCTCGTCGCTGCTGCCACTGTGCCAGTCCACCTCGTTGGGGGTCTTCTTCTTTGTCTCTGACCCTCCACTTTACCAAACATGATATCCTTCCTGTGGGACTGCTGCCTTCTGCTAATATGCCTGAAATATTAAAGATGAAGTCTGGTCATCCTGGCCTCCTTCCAAGGAGCACTCTGGCTGTACTTCTTCTAACACAGATTGATTTATTTTTTTGGCAGTCCATGGGACTTTTAATATTCTCCTCTAACACCATAACTCAAATGCATCAGTTCTTCTACGATGTTCCTTATTCACTGTCCAACTTTTGCATGCTTATGAGGTTACTGAAAATACCATGACTTGGGTCAGGCGCACCTTTGTCCTCAAGCTGACATCTCTGCTCTTCAACACTTTAAAGAGGTCTTGTGCAGCAGCTTTGTCTAGTGCGATACGTCATTTGATTTCCTGACTGCTGCTTCCATGAGTGTTGATGGTAAATCCAAGCAAAAAGAATTTTTTAACAACTTCCATCTTTTCTCCATTTCTATGGATTTGGTTTTTGGTCTAGTGACAAGCTGACAGAGTGGTGGGTAGTTATCATACGTACCATTAACCAGCCGCTTGGCTGTACAACTGCTAAAAGTGCCTGTTAGTGATAGTACACTGTTGAGAGTCCAAAGACAGAGACGTTGCTCTAGCAGGAAAGAAGTTGCACAGTTTACTGGACTATTTATAAAAAGAACTAAATGCAATTTAGATTGGAAAATGTATTTCCAAGTTAATTAGATTGTAGGTGATTGCCTGGAAAGCCATTGTGCAGTACAAACTCGAGACCACATCAGCTTACAGTGAATGCTCGTGAGTTACTCACAACAGCAGTGTCTGGGGCTGACGCTCTTGAAAGAAAACCTGCTGTCATTTGTTTCACTTTCCTACATGTTGTGCTTTGAACTTTGGTAACGGATTTCATTGGCTGTGCTCTGTGACCTATTTGTTCAATCTG